TACTAAATAGATAACTAAATAAAAATAAATAAATAAATAAACAAATAAATAAATAAATGAATTAATGAAAGAAAGAAAAAAATGAATGAATGAATGAATGAATGAAGGAATGAATGAACCAATGAATTATAAAAAAATTTCGATTAACTTTATGGGATACATAAACATTAAAAAACAATTTAAACTGCCATGCGTACCGAAGACAATAGGGACATTTGTCGTTTTTAGTGTGTAATCATAATAAAAATATGATCAAAACATCCCTGATAGCTTTTTGTGTAGCTCTTTTACCTTTGTGATGATAATAATATGGTACACGTGCACCGATTAGTAATTAGACATTTCCTTTATTTTATTTGTTCTTAAATCATATGGGGCTGTTGATTGATCGTAACGATGTTTTTTAAATGCAAGCAAAAATGTTTTTATTCACAATCACTGAAGGGAAAGTTATACAAATCATTGTTTACACGTGAATGCGTTTTCTTTTAATTGCAAAAGTTTTTTTCGCTAAAATGCTGACCTGGAAAAATTAATTTGTGATCATTTGACACATTTTAGTATTGGGTCTGTTTTCAATAAATTAATGTTTGGAAACAGTTTTGTGAATAGAGAATACCTTTTGTACGACATTACAATAAACGATTTTTTAATGCTCGTTTCTTTTCTTTCAGGGGAGATAGAAACATCAAGCTAACAAACGGCATTGTGGTCGTCATCAGATATTGTTCTGACTTTCTGCTATAATGGCTTTGGACGTTAAAACAGGGAAAAATCATCTCATCTTCTTGAAGCAACAAGACAAAAGACAGCAGAGACAGGCTGGCCTTGCAATATATACCGTCCGCGCTTGGTTCTTTCTCCCGATCTCTTTTATTTAGCTTTCATCAAAGCACTGGTCTTTTTGGTCTACACATCGCCTTTTCTACTTAAAAACACACAAACATAGTATATATATTATACAGGTACATATTCTACGTGCACATACATAATTATATAGATACAGATACAGATACTTAATTTATGCACACACACATACACATGCACATGCGCGTACTCATTATATACATACACAGGCACAGACACATACACATATTATACACAGACACATACACATTCAAATGCACATGCATATACACATACACAGACACAGACGCATATACATACACATACATATTATACACATACACATACACATACGCATAAACACACACACATACACACACATACACACCACCACCACCACCACCACGCTCATGTGTATTGAAGCATACAAATAGGTTCATAAAAGCACATTTGCACGCATGTGTATCCCTCCTTTCCCCCCTCTCTATCCGACACATTTACACACACGTACACACATCCACCCAGACGCACTCTCTCTTTCTCTCTCTCTCTCTCTCTTTCTTTCCCACACACACACACACACACACACACACACATACATACATACACACACACACAAGCACACACACACATGTGCAAAAGACAGAAATATACACTCTATGTGCCAGACGTTCAAATGTCCACGGAAGCGACGTAAAATGTATAATACTTGGATACTTGCTTTGCATTTTTTGTTTTTAAAATTTCAAATAATGTAATTACAATGTATATTGTTTCTGCTTAAAAGCCCCATCTATGTTCTGTTGTGATCTACTTGTGTTGAACTGAAATGTTTATAGATGGAGGGTTTAGGGGCGGGGGCTACATGCTGTTGAGACACAAAAAGAGCATGCCGGAGAGAAAGAAAGAGAGAGAGAGAGAGAGAGAGAGAGAGAGAGAGAGAGAGAGAGAGAGAGAGAGAGAGAGAGAGAGACAGAGAGAGAGAGGGGGGGATGTATGAGAGTACCGCCTGTATTCACCACAGTAGCCATGGCCCGTCGCTCCATCACACAGTCAGAGTTGATGACTCGGTCAGTGGCCGTTGATTGCAGGTCATGCCATCTCGTGACCACTCGGCTCACTCCCTGCGAAACCCGGACATCTACACTTTTCTGTCTGTCTGTCTGTCTCTTTGTCTTTATCTCTGTCTCTCTCTGTCTCTCTGTCTCTCTGTCTCTCTGTCTCTCTCTCTCTCTCTCTCTCTCTCTCTCTCTCTCCTTTTTTTCTTTCTCTTTCTCTCTCTGTCTTTTTTCTCGCTCTTGTTCTCTGTCTCTTTCACACACACA